GAGGGGGGACGGGCTGAGAGGACGGGCCAAGGGGCGATGGTCCGAGGGGATGGGCGGTGGGGGGGGAGGCGACGGGCCGAGGGGATGGGCCAGGTGGCATCTGCCCAGCACCGCGTGGCCGCTGCCCCCACTTGGCCGCGAGAACAGGGAGCACAGGGGGCCCACGGCGCCTGGAAGCCTCCGGGGAGCCTCGCCTCCTGCGGCTTCCCCCAGGGCAGCGGTATAGCCTGAGCCCGGCCCTTTCCCAGCCCTTGCTCTGCTCCTGGCCGAGCCTCCCTGGGAGCCCTTGGGCTGGAGGCGCCCCTCCCCCGGCCCCCAGCCCGGCTTTCTGGGGCTGAGAACCATTCAAGCCGCGGGAGGAGGACTCCCCTGGCAGAGGTAGGCCGGGCCCAACCCAGACCCAAGGGAGGACTTCTTTGAAGGAGTCGGGATGCGGGGCCTGGGAGGTCGGTGGACTGGATGGTGGGCGGGGTGGGGCGGGGCGCACGTGGGATCAGACCCAAGCCCCCGGGTCTCTTCCGCAGCTGTTGGCTGGGAGATGCGGGGGGCCTAGGGTCAGGGTGCCGCGGCCGAGTGGGGGTGCATCGTGCGCTCATGCTGTGCTTGGACATGCAGCCTGAGGGAGACACTTTGTGGGAGGGTGGGGAGCCCCCGGGAGAGAAGAAAAATCACTCGGGCCATAGAGAAGGCCGGAGGCTGGGCGATTTATAAAGAAAAGAGGTTCTAATTGGCTCAGAGTTCCACAGCCTGTCCACGAAGCGTGGTGCTGGCTTCTAGGGGGGCCTCGGGACGCTTCTAGTCATGGAGGAAGGCGAAGAGGAAGCGGGCGTTTCTTCATGGCCTGAGACCCCTCCTGCTTTCTCCCTTTGTGGTTCACTCCGAGTCAGGGAGGATGTGGCCCCAGCCACTGCTCAGCGGGGGAAAGATGGGGACCCCCGAGTTTGTGCTGCCTTGGATGCCAGCTATGTTCATGAGATAAGCATGGAGAACTAGAACATTCTGCTTTTCTATGTCTCCTTTCAGACGTAGGTGAGGATAGAATATGGTGTCACGTTTGTGAGAGAGAAAACACTTTCGAATGTGAGAACCCAAGGATGTGCAAAGTGGAAGAGACATACTGCGTGCTAGCGGCCGTGAGTGAGTATCCTCGCTCTTGCTGGGGACCCCGAGGCGCGTGAATAGGGGGCTTTCAGGAATCAGGTCTAGTTTCCCTCAATAGGGAATAACTAATAGAAAGTAGCCTTTTTTTCCCCCAATAAAATGTGAAGAGCAAAGTCCTGAGAGGCCAGGAAGAGGTGAAGGAGAGTAGGGTGGGGCTCAGTCCCTAGGAACTGCGCCAGTGTAAGGCAGTGCCCGCTGTAGTGGGTCCAGATGAAATACTGGGAGGCAGGAAGAAGATCCGGATTTCATGTCATCCATTTTTAAATGGAAAAAACTTTAATAATGTTAAGTGCCCCACCGAGAGCAGTGCACTCTCACAAGAGATGCACAGAACTCAGGTGCACAGCCTTCAGGTGTGTTCTAGAGGAGGCAGCGTGCCTTAACAACTGTGGAGACCACTGCTCTGTCATCTGTGAGTCCCCTGAAAACCTGTGGGAACGTGAAGCCCTCCCCACGGGGCATCTGGACTCCCAGCACATTCTGCCCACAGGGCCATCTTCAGGGCTCGTGAATTCGGATTCCACCCAGCGTTTGCTCTCCAGCCCTTTGGCATCCACAAAGCTGCCAGGGCACTGAGGCGATGCTTCAGACTCGGTGTAGCCAACATTGACTTTATAACTTAATATGGTAAAATGATTAGTACAATGATGTGGAAGATGAAATGTGGTCATGAGACAAGACCCCCAGCTCAGAGCTGAGCCAGGCCACTGAGAGGCCAGCTCCATGCCCTGGGTGATGGCCAGGATGGCCGGGGGTCATGTGTCTGTCTGTGGTCACAAAGGCCTGAGTCAACCCTGTGTTTGAAAAGTTGAAACCTGTGTGTTCCCAAACAGCGACCCCTAGACCCACATTCCCAGTGCACGTGGACAGGCCACACCATGCAGAAGCCAGCCCCTCCCCAAAGCGGCATTCAACACCCAGGCCTGGCCCTCATGCTCCTGACCCCTCCTTGACACCCCTGCACCTCTAAGCAGGGCCGCCAGGGGAAAGGGCTTGACCAAGACAGAAAGGCCTCGGTGTCAGCCATTGGAATTGTGTAATTTCCTTCTCTCCGTCTTTATTTCCTATTAGAAATATTTCCACGTTTCTTCCTGATTTCAAAGCAGTGCTCTGCTTATTGTGCAGCGATTGAGCGACCCAAGCCAGCGCAGAAGCCGTTTCTCCTGGAAGCACCCATGCCCTTCTTTTACCTCAAGTGTTGTAAAGTTCGCTATTGCAATTTAAACGGGCCGTCTGTGAACTTATCAGTGTTCAAAGACTATGTTGAGAGCTCCAGTAAGAGGAGCTGTGGCAGGCTGGGGCTGACCGCCCTCCTGCTGCTGGCCTCCACTGCAGCTGGCCTCAGCCTGCCTTGACACAGGACTGCATGAACTGAGCCTTCTGGAGCATGGACTCACTCCACACCGTTGTAACCTGTTGCATTAAACTTGTTTTGTTGATTACCTCTTGGTTTGACTTGCCAGGGGTCTTGGGATGGGAGGGTGGGGATCAGGTGCAGTTCGACCCCTCAAGGGCACTGCAGCTCACATTCAGAGCAAGATCTCCTGGTAGTGATTCTGGCAACAAGTTTTTCTCTTTGAAATCAAACCTTGTAACCCATTGATGGCTGATGGCCACTCTTTTCCTTGACTCCCCTCTGCCATGAGGGCTTCAGCATTGATGGGGAGGGAAGCCCAACCACTCATGGAGAGCGTGTGCTCAGATGCTTCCGAGCGTTCAGGTGACACAGGAACACTGGGGGAGTCTGAATGACTGGGGTGAAGACATCCCTGGAGTGAAGGACTCTTCAGCATGGGGGGCGGTGGGGCACACATAGGGGTGCATTTCAGTGCTGGAGGCACCATGGATGGCTGTCTGTCCTCAGCCTTTCCTACCACATCCCGGGAGGCAGAAGATCACCAATTCTGTTGAAGAAACTTAGACTTCACCCACTAGCTGGCACAGGTGCACAGATTCATAAATTCGCCCACGTGTGTGTTCAACATCTGAAACTTGGGCCAAGTAGAGAGCAACATGGCTTTCATTTCAAGATGCAGCCATCCACAGAGAGCTGAGAAACCAGACTCAAAGTTCCACCCAAAACAAACACAGGGGAGCTCACAGAATTCAAAAGTTCACAGAAAATTTGAATTAAAAGATAAAAATTTAAAAATAAGTTTATTTCTCAGCATGAGCTCCATTAAGGTCAAGACACTTTTGTAAATGGTACAGCCATTTAGTTCATCCCTAAAGAACTGAGCATCCTGGGAATTTAACCATGTCAATTCAGTCTTTGCTGTTATTAACTGAAGAAAAGTGGATGCCCTTTAAAGATTTTTTAAAATTAGAAAACAAAAATAACCAAATCAGGCCTGCAAGGTGGATGCCTAATAACTTCCCACTGAAACTCTCACAAAACTTCCCTTGTTTGATGAGCGGAATGAGCAGAAGCCCCCTCACGGTGGAGGAGGGAGGAGCGGGAGCACCGTCACGGTGGAGGAGGGAGGAGCGGGAGCACCGTCACGGTGGAGGAGGGAGGAGCGGGAGCACCGTCACGGTGGAGGGAGGAGCGGGAGCCCTGTCATGGTGAACAAGGGCTCTCTGGTAAAGCTTTCCCGGGTGAAGCTTTCCTGGGCATTTTCCTGCTAAATCGTTGGCTAACTTTCTCAACACACTCTCATAATGAGATGTTGCTATTCTTTGGCCCTCCAGAAAGTCAATAAGCAAGATGCCTTGAGCAGCCACAGAACTGCCGCCATGAACTTCGCTCTTGACGTGTTTGCTTTTGCTCTGACGGGGCCACATCCGCCTCTCGGTATCACTCCTTTGCTTCTGCTTTGTCTTCAGGATTGTACTGGTTAAGCCACATTTTATCTCCGGCTATAACTCTTTGAAGAAATGCTTCAGGATCTTGAATCCACTTGTTAAAATCGCCATAGAAAGCTTTTCTCTATGCACAGCTAAGTTGGGATAAACAGTTTTGGCACCCATGGAGTGGAAAGTTTACCCAACTTTAACTCCAGTCAGGACTGTGTAATCCGAACACCTTGAGATGCCTACACCTTCTAATAGTAGGGACGCCTATTGTTTCCACTGATTTCTTTGGGGCACTGTCCCTATAAACTTTCAATAAAGCATCAGTGATTTCACCATTTTTGCAGCGAAGCTTCCCCATCAATTGCATGTTTGTTCCGGCTTCAATGTTAGCAGAATTCATGTTGTCTGATCGTCCTTTTCAAACTATTGTCTTATGCTTCTTAGGGCCTCAAACTAGATCCTGTTCAGATATGTCTTCACAAGTTAGTACAAGTTTATTTTGTTGCAAAAAATGTGAAATCCATGCATTCTTCTTCCTGACATGCATTTTCTGTGAACGTTCTAAAGATCACTCATCCTTTCTCCCCATGTTGTCTGTTCACTGTCAGGGAGGGTGTGACCCCACCCACTGCCCATCTTTGTCTCCCTTCTGTCCCCATCATCCTGGCCAGCCACTACCTGGTCTAATACCAGAGGCTGCTGGGTGGGGAACCTTCCAGATAGAGTTTCTTCACTATTCCTGAGGCATGGGGGACAGGCCCATCTTGGTCACATCTGAACACTTCAAACCTGAGGCCAAAGTCCATTCTGGGGGCAGTGGGCAGGGAGGGCCCCAGCAACTCAGGACGGGGTAGGACCACCAGCACCTGTCAGGCTCTGCCTGTGTGCACACCTTTCTGCCCATCACAAGCTTGTGTTCACATCCTCCTCTCATCCCAGCACCCAGAAACAATAGCCCCAGCTGCTTCCAATTCACAACCTGGGCTGGAGTTTGGGGAGCATTACTTTTGGTAAGGCAGGCATAAGCGGGAGCTCCATTCAGAAAGAGCAGTGAGGTAGGAGGTCAGCCCTGTGAGAGAGTTTCCCTAACAACCTTCCATTAAAGTCTCTTCAAATGAAGGATGCAATCTGTGATGTAAAATAACAGGAAGTCAAGAAACGTGAATATGGAAAAGTCCCAAATTGGGAATTGTCTGGTCTCTGGTAATACTAGGAGCACTCTCAATCACTTGAGTAGGGGAGATACGAAATTATTGCAGGATTAGGAGTTAGAATGGATCAAGGAATTTGCTGTCTCCAGTGTGATATGTGCTCTTTCTAGAAGAATCACCATGGATGGAAGGCAGAAGAGAGGGTAGTGTCTAGAAAAGAACAGGGTTCATCACAGATGCTCCATTATGAATGTAAAAGCTTGAGCCTTTGTTGACCAAAGGTTAGGAGTCCATCCAGACTGAGGGATTGGAGAAGCAGGAGGTGGTGGCCCGGTGGGTTAGGAAGGTCCCTACACAGGCAGAACAGAACAGGAGACAGATCCAAGGCTGGGACGCTGACAAGGAGAACAGACACTTCTATCAACCTGAAAGAACAACAGGCAAGAACACGGAGAAAGATCAGGTATGGGAAGCGGCCAGGAAGTCAAAAGAATTCATCCCCTGCAGTCACATTTTCTCTGTGAGGCGGAATAGTGGTGTCTGCTCAGAGAATGAGAGTAAAAATAAGGCTGGACTTTGAGTGCCAGGATGGAAGCTTAGGACTATCCCTAAAGACAAGAGAGAAGGGACGTCTTGGGGACATGACATGGGATGGCCCAGCATTGTGGAGGTCACGGCTAAGACAGGCCATTACACATTTGCAGAGATCTGCACGAGTTTGCTGGTGGATTTTCTCCAGCAGCGGCCCATGTTTATGAGGGGAAAGGCAGATGACACAAGTGTATCTGGGTGTGAGCTAGTTCAGAAGCTCACAATGGAAAGAGAGCAGTTGAGTGACGAACTGTGGGAGCCTGACTGAGTGGAGAAGTCACAGGAAGGTTAGAAATACCATTGTGAAGAACAGTACCAAGGCCGGAGGCTGCAGGCGGTACAGAAACACAGAGCGGATGTCGGCAATCCCATGATTAAGAGAGCAGGGAAGAAGGGGACCACAACCACTAAAGAGAGACAGGACTAAGCACACAATAAATGCAGGTTTAAAACTAATGGGGGAGGGTGGTTACTGAGCAAATGGGGTTGCTAAAACAGGCTGCTGTGATCAGGGGTGTGAGTGATGGAAATCCCCAAATAACAATGACTTCAAAACACAGAATGTGAATGTCTTGCTCTTGTAAACAGGGTGAGCAGATTTAAGCAGCCCAGGGCTGTGTGCCACTGCTGGAAGGACCCCTCGTCACATGCCACCACAGCTCGGAGCGCACACGGGGAAAGCGGAATATATGGGTTCCATGAGACCGGCACTGTTTTCAGAATTACAAATTCTCCAAAATAGACATGCATGTATCTATCTCATCACCTATGTGTAGGCTTTTAAAACAAAGAAAATTGAAAATTTGAGGTTCCACTTGGAGCCTAGAAAGCAGTCTTCTAAGAAGGAGTATGTCAGGATTTCCAGGAGCTGCTGGTCGCGTGAGGGCCAGACTTGGAGGGTCACGTGAGGAGACACTGGAAAGGATTTTGAACGTGGATTTCATGTCTTGGGCTCTGAAAACAGAAAATGACCCTCCTCAAACACACATGGAATAATTCATAAATTCTAGAACTCCCAGACTTGCTGAAGGCTCTGCCTCACCAAACATGCCCATGTCTCTGAAATGCCTTTCCGTCTGAAGCACTAAAAATCTATGACTGACTAAATTCTTCCACAGGCAAACACAAAACTGATGCTACAAAACAAACAGCAGGAGAAAGGAAATTAGAAGCCATCGTAATTCTGAACAAAAACAAATAAAATACTGGCCAATCAGACCCAAGCGTATGAAAATACTAATACATTATAATAAGTACAGTGTATCACAGAAATGCAAAAATAGTTAAATCTTAGGAAAAGATGTCACTCACCATAGCAAGAGAATAGGAAATAATAACCAAATGATAATCAACATTCAGTTATGACATTTTAAAAATCCTGGATACCTAAGAGAGAAGGCAGTTTCAATAGTTTGAAAAACCTGACTTACCA